GGATTGTGGCTGTGCATGGATATACTTATGTGCTGTGGTCTTCCCTGTGTCTGTCAGCACCCTGTGAACTGAGAGCAGCTTCTTGCTGTGATAGCCACCCCTCACCTTCTGCAAGTATTACGTGCTACGGAGTCACCCCACCAGCAAACGCTGCAGTCCGTGTCCAGTTGCGACTGCAGTTCCTTCGGCTTGTGTCCCAGTGCTGGTCCCTTCCTGCAGCTGTCTGACCAGGGTGCTGAGTACCCTCATGCCAGCCACAGTGTCCCCACGTGAACGGGGATTCAGGTTGCCCCTGTTTTGGAGGTCCCTACCCAGAGTCCTGGTTTTCAAACAAGGTGCTCTGCAGCCAAGATGCTGGGGGATGCTGCTTCTGACCTGGTCTCGCAGGTGGGTTTGAGGTGTCCAAAAGCCTATCATTTCAAATCCCAGACCCACTTTTGAAGACGTTGGCCTGGCTGTGGCACCAGCACAGAGTTGATGGGCAGGTCTCCTACAGCAGTGACACTGCACGCTGCAAGAGGATAGTGCGTAGCTGGTACCTGCTGTCCTAGGTGGTACCTGCTGTCCTCAGGGCGCGATGTGCTTTGCAACAGCTGGCAGAGCGATGTGCTCATGGCCTGAGTACCTTCATTCCCAAAAGGTAAGCGGGCAGGCTTGGAGAAGTTCTTCGTTTTCCTGCAGCTTATGCTGGGTTTTGCCAGAGTACATTGACATGATGCTGCGCTGCGCTTCTGCCCTGGGCTTGCCTGCTAATCAGGGGACAGGAGGGCCACCTCAGCCTTCCCTAGACCAGCTGGGGCAAGATTTGAGCGCGGAAGTTGAACAGCAGCGCTCGCTCGATACTGCCTCCTTCTGACACCGTGTCCCCTAATGAGGGGGAGGCCAGCAGGAGAAGGTCATGATTAAAGCAGCAGGGAAGACAAGGTAAAACCGAGAGAAAAATGATAAGTGAAAAATACAGACGTGCTGGGAAGTCGCATATGTCGGTCAGGAAAGTGTCTGGAAAGATTATTTGGTTTTGTACACTGCTAGCAGGAGGTGTTGGGGAATGTATTTCAGCACCTCTCCTGGCTTGCTCCAGGGACTGATGAGTGCAAAAGGAGGTTTCCATAAAATATTCTGGTTTGTCCTATCAGTATTTTTGAGTGTATTATGCAACAGGGGGGGGGGGGAAGGGGGAGGGTTTGCGGGCAGCTGACACTTTTTTTTCCTGTTACGTGACAGTAAAAAGGCACTGAAGGCAGAGCACTTTTTTCATTGGATCTACCCCACAGTTTCTCCCTCATGTTCATTTCTGAGGAGATGTTTTTCAGCTGGGCCTGGCTGTTTCCCACCCCTTGGGAGAAGGCAGCGTGCACCCGGCTGGCTGGGGGGGCGCACCCCTGACCCCCCTCCC